ATCTCTACAAAAACTAGGCCTATTCTGATGTACCATGATTTAATGGAAATCTGTAAAAAGGAAATTCATACTCTTTTGAATAGTAAAATTATTCATCCCTCAAAAACCACCTTGGTGTTGTTCAGCATTTTATGTTAACAATGCAGCTGAACAAACCCTTAAACTCAGTTTTAAAGTGGATTTGTTATCCGATCCCTATCAAAAGGGATCTTTTAAAACGGACTTTTAAAGCTAATGATTATATTAAATTTGATTTAAAATCAGGATGTTGGCTAATTCAAATAGCTGAACAAGATAAATATAAAACAGCTTTCAATGTCCCGTTTGGATAATATGAATGGAATGTCATGCCTTTTGGGCTTAAAAATGCCCCATCGGAATTTCCTTTTGATTAATTTATTAAGTGGACTCTATCAGGACCCGCGTAGCATGGTCAATCAAAGAATTATCTGCAATTATGGGCGACAAAGTGGCAGACATAGCTTTATCAAAAGATAAAGATGAAGGTGCTTTTCGAAAGAAAACAAAATGCTTTGCTTTATCAAAAGCAACGGAGGGAAATCAACAGCCAATCAACAGAAGAGCTCTTACATTTCCCTTATCCTTTCATGTCTATATAAGACTTTGTATCTTCACATTAAGAGCATCATAAATTTTATGAATACAAAATTTTCTTAAACGCTCTCCCTCTCTGTAAACATTAAGCAATATATCTTGGAATAAAGCTTTACTTTTGTAAATTCCTTTAATCTTTCTTCTAATTATACTTTCTATTTTCCGCAAACAGATCCAAAGAAAGATTAAAGGAACTTACAAAAGTAAAGCTTTATTCCAAGATATATTGCATAATGTTACAGAGGGGGAGAGCATTCAAGAAAATTTTGTATTCGTAACATTTCTGATGCTCTTAATGTGAAGATACAAAGTCTTATATAGACTTGAAAGGATAAGGGAAATCTAAGAGCTCTTCTTCTGATTGGCTGTTGATTTTCGTCCGTTGCTTTTCATAAAGCAAAGTATTTTGTTTTCTTTCAAAAAACACCTTCATCTTCATCTTTTGATAAAGCTACATCAGCCACTTTGTCGGCTATAATTGCAGATAATGCTATGATTGACCATGCTTTGCTGGTCCTGACAGAGTCCACTTAATAATTTAATCAAAAGGAAATTCCGTCTCTTTGAGACTCTTCCTTTTCTTTCTAGATAATTCCAGCTCAATGAGCCTCTATCTGAGAGACTAGTTATTCCAGATTTTAATACCCTCAACTAGTGATTAATCATAAAACGGATCTAAATTAGATAGTGCAAAAACTTTAGGTTTTAACATGTCTCCATTATCATCACTTTGAGAGGACGAAGCTTCTTGAAGGAGCTTCATTATCAGTTGTTCATTATCTTCAGACTCTAAGTCTGACAAGGCCTTTTTGTAGTCTTATCTTTAGTTCATTCTTAGATAAAGACTTCTGGGGAGATCTTCTACAGATCGATTGGTTAACGATTGCAGCTTTCTTTGGAGTTGGAGACCTTCCTTTAATCAAGACTTCTCATGACAGATACTTGATCCTGTCAAATTCTGCAATACAGAAAGTCCAACTGATAATATAAGAAATTCTTTTTTGAATAAAATATTTACATAGTTTTATGTTCTCTGGGAAAGGAGATATGTCTTGATCTAGCAGAAACTGACTGAATTTGTCAGCAAAGTTTTTTGGCAAAACTTGTATATTTCTGCCAAAACAGTTCCACCATTCGTAAAACCATCTCGGGATGACTCTCTTGGTCACTTCTGGATTATATGTGACAAACCACGTGTGAGTAGTTTGCCTAAGGTAAAGGAAGTTGAACAAGGCTGATCTGTAGTCATGCCAATTGAATGTTTGAACCGGTATCAACAAGAATAAACTCAAAGTATTTTCTTGTTTTTAGTGGATTCTTTGTATCCACATAATTTCTATTAGAAAATAAGGGTTTCACAAGATGCTTTACCTCAAAATTCTCATATTCTTTGTCAAGGGCTAATATTAGGGAGACCTGCAAAGAGATGATTTCAAAGGTTTCTCATACCTTTGGATTTTTATCTGTAGTTGAAGCAGTAGTCGGTGCAACCGCCTCTTTGAAGCTCTCTGGAACTTTCATGGTGTAAGAGTCTTTGGTTTGGGGGGAAGAGTATCTGGGTACTCCTGATTGTGAGTGCGAACATTGTTCGACGATTGGTTTAAAAGGTTTATTAGAGCTTGGAGGCAAAGGAGGAAAAGGAGTTATTGAAAAGGCTGGGTTTATAGGTGGTAAGTTTGCCAAAGCTGAGTATTTATTCTGGTCACTCGATGATGGCCTGATAGCAAATGGTTTTGCTGAAGGTTTTCCTTTAGGACTTTTCCCTTATTCTTAAAGGGGCTCCCTATTATGGCGCTTGAAGAGGGCCTCATGATGATTTTCCCTGCAAGAATTCTCGCATTAGAAAATCTGGTAAAGAATTATTTTCACCTTAAATAAATTCGATTTGGAAATCGAAGATGGCTAATAAGGCCTGCCATCTTGAAAAAATCTGTTTAGAAACAATACTCTTAACATCCTTTTGGAGGATTTCTTTAGAAGATTTACAATCTACTCTAAGAAAGAATTCTTTATTGATCAAGTCATCTTGAAACTTAGTTATACTAAGAACAATAGCAAGGATTTCTTTTTTGATCGTGCTGTAATTCCTTAAAGCAGAATTCCAGATTCCAGAAGTTTAATGGACTAATTGTTTTGAAGAATGAGGTCTTTTATTTGTTTAAGAATACCACCTTATCCAATATCAAAAGCATCAGTCTCAACAACCATGAAATAGTCAGGGTTAGAAATACCAACACAAGGAAGATCTTTAACCATATTCTTTTGAAAAATAACTGCATTGGTTTGTTCATCACTCCAGGGTGAAGGATTCTTCTTTAACCTATCAAAGAGAGGTTTGCAAATGTTCCTAACTTTGGGAATAAAATCAGCTACATAGTTGAGACTCCCTAAAAATCATTGCAATAGAGTTTTCTCTAAATTGACATTGGGAAATTTATCAGAAAACTCAATTGATCTGCAAATAAGTTTATAGGTACCTTGATAATGATCATGTCCTAAAAATCAAATTTTTGTTTGAAATAATATAATATTTTTAGCACTAATGACTAATCAATTGTGCTTAATAATTTTAAAGAAAACATATAAATGTTTGAAATGAGAATCAACGTCCTTAGAAAAGATTAATACATCATCAATATAAACAATAGAAATATGACTAATATTGTTGAATATTGGGGAACCTCGTTCTTGTTCAGCTGCATTGTTAACATAAAATGCGGAACAACTGCAAGGTGATTTTGAGGGATGAATAATTTTATTATTCAAAAGAGTATGAATTTCCTTTCTACAGATTTCCATTAAATCATGGTTCATCTGAATAGGCCTACCTTTTGTAGAGATGGCCTTTTCATTAAATTCATCAATATATGGTAAATCAATAATATAAGATTTTCGATCCAAAAATGCGTTTGGAAATTCTAAGAAAATTTCATTCTCAAAATTCTTTTGAAGATTGGTAATTTTAGCAACCATTCTTGGGGTTTTAAAATTTGCTCAATTTTCTTAATTTTAATATCCTCTTTTAAAAAACAAATAAGATTGATTTTAAATGCAGTGTGTTTATGCAAAAATTTACTTTCTTTAAGAGAAAGTCTCTTGATAAAAGGAAAGGAAATTTCTTTTCCTAAAATTTTTGTTTTGATTGATTCAAAATCTGAAATATACGGTTTGATTTGGGAAATCAAAGGTATACCCAAAATAATTTCCTCATTAATGTTTTTAGTTATAACAAAATCATTAGCAAGGCAAATATCGTCATTGTAGATATGAGCATTTGATAGTTTATAATTTATACAGATACGCTCACCAGTCGCGTTGTATAACTTGGTAGTTCCCTTTTGGAGGTACTTGGTTGGGATTAGACCTTCAACAATGCATTTGAAATCTTTATCACTGTCTAACAAAGCAATTTTGTTAAGCACAAAATTAGAATTGACTACTAACTTATCCATAATGTGAGAACTTTGAGATCTCACCTTAATTATCATACTAATACCTTCATCTTCAATACCTTTAGGTAATGAAGGGGCAGATTGATCGGAAGAGTTGTTTTCTTCATCTTCGTTATCTGAAGTAGAAATCTCTTTTCCTTTAAGAGATACTTCAGCGTCCTTAAGAAACTATTTTGCTAAAGCATCAATTTCAATTTTGTTAAGTCTTGACTTAACTTCTTGAACTTTTTCTTTGGGGGAGTTAACCTCTGCTCAAAGATCATTGATAGAAGGTTCTTCCCTATTATCCGTATTTTTTTGCATGATTTGTTTCATGCTGAAAGGAATTACATTTCTTGTAACTTCTTTTTCTTTCTGTTTAGTGACAAGCTTTTGATGCTCCAAAAGATAGCTTCTTCTGGCATCATCATCTTTGATATGTTCAATAGTTGCAAATAAGATTTCCGCAGAGTCTTCAGAGAGAACTATGACACATAGGCTATCACAATGTCAAAATGTTTCTTGGCAATTGCATTCATGTCCACGATCTTGAGTACTATCTTGAGCAACATTGAGGAACTCCTCGTCTTCAGTTTCTTCTTCTTTTGAAGAGGAAGACAAATTTGATTCTTCTTCGTTTAATATAGAAAGAAAATTTTCTTTAGTTTCTTCATCTATTTTAAGAAGATTGATCTTCTTCCTTTTTCTCTTGTTTCTAGGACAATAAGGAGACTTGTGTCCCGACTTTCTACAAGTCCAACATTTTTCTTTGTTAAATGTGTTGTGAGAAGTTTTCTTACTTCTCTTTCCTTTAGAATATCCTTTTTCTTTTGAGGATCTTCTCTTAGGTGTCGATTTTCCAGATCTTTCTTTCTTTGAAACCCTTTTTGCAGAATGGGGTTTTAGACTTGGGAAACCAAAGTGTTGACATAAACTACCAAGTTCGTTACTTGAATTTTTTTTATCTTTCTTAAGTTGTTCCTTTAGCTTTAAATCAGTACATAGCTCAATTGCTACGAAATGAATCAAACTGGTAAGTTCTTTATAAGTCATTTCTGAATATGGAATTTTACCTTCACATTGATCTCTTATTTTTTATCGAACCTTTTCTGCATAATGGGGAGGTAATCCACTAAGGAATCTCTCTTTCCAATAATCATTGTTGCAGTCATCTCTAAGCATGACCTTTGTAATAAACATATCTTTATACCATCTGAAATCTGTCAATTTCTTGTAGTAAAGATTGTTTATTATTTCCAAACAACATTCTTGCTTGCAACAGCATCAAGGATCTTATTCTTATTTTGTTTTGTGAGATAATTGTCCCACTAATTTCTTAGAGTACTTGTAAATCCTGCAACTATCCTGTTAGCTGCTTGCTTATCAGTGGCACTCTTCCATTAATAGGCTGTGATATTCATGCCCATCTCTTGGAGTTTATTATACATTTGACTATCAGCCATACCGTCTATATTCCATTCTGTTATCCCTGTACCATATGCAACACTCTGGGGATACATATTGTTCTCTTCAAACTGGATATTAGGAAAAGAAGGTCCGGGATAAAAGTTTTTGGAGTGAGGAAGTCTATCTTTAATAGCTCCGACCTTATCACCCTGAGAAATCTTAATCCTTTTAAGTTGCTCACTAATTCTGTCTAAGATTTTTGGAGAGTTGTTGAAGTCATTAGCTAGTTTAGAGAAATCTTATGGGGAAAATTTATGGATTTTGAAGATAGGATTAGTCTCTATGTTGAAACCTTATTTGGAAAAACTGACTTTGTTACCAATCTGACTGGTACCACTGTAATTATACTTTGAGTCCTCAATTTGTTTGGAAACAAAATGAAGAACCTGGTTAGTATAATTATTTTGTTCAAAGACTTTGTTTATTTCTTCAATAGTCACAAAGTTGTTTTCTTTATGCTCTGGAGGTTTTTGAAAGGCGGTGCTTTCAAAACATCTTTTATATATGGGATGTTTATACCTTCAAGAGGACGAGTAACACTTTTGACAACCTTGTCTTTGGTTTGCCATCTGTTAACTAAAACCTGAAGCAATGAATTGGATTCACCGATTTGGCCTGTAGATTCAAACCATTTGAAGAATTCAATTTCTGTTTTGAATCTCTTCATATCCTTAAACCATTTGTCTTTGAACAGGACTGTCTAATCCCTTGTGTATGTATCAACATACAAAGCTTTCTTTTAAGCATGCTCAGGGCTCATCCACCACTTATTAATCATTTTTGTGTCAGGAGTAAATTTGTCGACTGACCTAATAACTCCTATAAATTATTTTTCTTATGAGAAGGAAATTTTATTTCACTAGGAGTAGGACTTCCTGCAAAAGAAGAATCATAATAAACCTTGGGGATGGTTTGGGTGAAATCTACCCCGCAGAATTTACCCTGTTGTTCTGAAACCTCAATGGTTTAATATAAATATTCTCCTCCCTCCCGGGCCCTTGAAGTAGAAGGTCTAGCCATAGACATTCTTCTACTAGAAGACTCATGGCCGAAAGAATTGGATCCAAGAAACTTGAGTTTAACAGATCCATCTGTAAATTGAAGAACACTTTCTACGGAAGACCTAGAAGGCTGAAATATAAGGGGTTCGGTGATAGATTCAAATTTCCAACTTTCATCGGAAAGAATCTCATTCCACTTTAACATTCTGGGTAAAAAAGTTGGCAGGAAACTCGATCCTCATAGATGAAACCGGGATTGATGGACCGTCTGTGAGTTGACGGACAACCCTACCGCCCAATCCTGCACTCTGTCATCTTTGTCAGAGACGGTGCAGGCGAGGGACTTCCTCTAATTGTTTAAGTGTGAGATGATTGTGGCATCGACACCTCGTCGATCCACACACGGACCATAGCCTATGCCTCTGCACTCGGTCGATGAGTTCAGAGGTTGTGCGGGGAAGGGACCTTCTCCAACAGCCTAAATGTGGGACAACGGTGGCATCGACGCCCCGTTGATCCACAGATGGGCCGTCTTCTATCCATAAATGCATACTGCCAGGCAATGTTGCATCAATTTACAAGGGTCCTCCTCAAGGGACCTTGGTTGGTCCTTGGAGAGTCATACCTGGATGTTTCAACCATGAAAACTCAAACACCTATTATCTACCTTACCACCAATTTTTGTACATTTATAACTCCTAAACTGTAGTCAAATAGGCTAAGTCACACTAACATCCCTTTAAAACAACTTCCCAGATGTCATGGACGTTTTTGAATGTTTTGGTTCTTAAACCTCCTAAATGACGTGTATCCATTTCAAATGGACTTAGAAAAAGGACTTAGACTTCATGAAACCTATGTTATCCTTTGCAATGTGTCTTATTTTCAAGGTTTTATAGATAGGAAGCCCAAGACCAGCCACAGTCCTAGACCACAGACCAATAGGACGGTCCATAAGTCAAGGGACGGGCCATCGACGAGTCTGTCTCTGCGCAGCTCACTGTAAGTTTAAGGGTTGAAGTCGTAAATTCACCCAACATCCAAATAGGATAACGGGCGATTACTTATATATCTTGTGGATATTTTAAATATGTTTATAAGCCTTAAACACTTAGAAGATTTCGTTTTTCAAAATCAAATCCCAAATTCCCTTAGAAATTCTCTAAACCTCCATTGGAACCAAAACTCAACGAAGGGCTTGGATTTGAGAATTGAGTTGAGATTTTTCATCAAATTGGAGGATAAGATTTATTGAGGTATTGATTTTTGATCTTTGAAACTCTATTCATCAAGTATCCCAACTTTAAAACAATTTTTCTAAAGTTTTCAAAGATGAATTTTCCAATTTCATGATCGATCCATGGGTTCATTTATTAAAGGTTTTAAAGCATTGAATATTCATTGAATTGTTATCTATTAGATGATTTAACTCAATTAACCTATGAACCCATGTAATTGACGAACCCTAGGTTTTTACTACTTTATGAGTTATGTGATTTGGACTTAATGCTTATGAATTCTACCGTAGTTTTTATGGGCTAATTATTGATGTTATAATTGTGTTGAATTGATATATAGGTTGTTTTATATTGATGAATCTATACTGAATTTATATAGTTTCATTGATTATCATAGATTTATATTGAATTGATGTTCATTGCCATGGGTAAGGCCCTTATGGTATTGAATTGGATGATTTAGCATTGGATTGAAGTGTTAAGGATAGAGTGATTGTACTCTTCCCTAATCCCCTTTATTTAATGTTAATCAAACTTCAACTATGTTTTGATTGGTATGGTCCACTTATGGTGGCGGTGTTATATGCTTCACTTGCAATTGATGTGGCCTTGTCGGCGTTACTTTATCTAATATGATGATCATGGCCTAGTAGGCCACTACTTGACGTATTATGTATATTTTTGTAATTGATTATGTCAATTTGGATAATGTGTATCTACATGATAAGTAATGTGAAAGTGTATATGTTCTTCTATTGAAGCTATGTAGGTCATCGTGTTAGAGTATGACTATGTCTTCATGTGTATAGTCTTAGGGTTGATGCATGGTTATTCTTACTTGACTATATGAGTCCATGATAATAATATTGATGATGATATTGCAGTGTATAGGATCACTTAAAGATGATAATGGTTATTTTTATGTTCCTCTAGAATGACATGTGATATGTGTTAAAGGGAAGTATGTTGTGTCTTGTCTTGGTTGACTTGTGTCCCTTACTTGACGCATGTATGATTGTTAATATGAGATATCTTGACTTAGGATGATAAATACTCTAAGTCTAGTATGTATTAATGACATGGAACCTTGAATGATGTTAAGAGAGTCCTTATTGTGAAACCTTGAACCTAGTGGTAAGGTTAAGGATGTTGAAGTCGAAAGACGTAATGGTATTCTTCATGTAAAAGAATGATAGACTTAAGGTTGGTTGTCTGGAATGAAATCATATCGATCATTAGGAAAGGCATTATGAGCTTCTTGTTGCCATTGTAAGGTAGCCCTAATGGATCTCTTTGATAGGGTAAATTTGATTGGGTTATAAACTAGATATGGAACCCCTTTATATGAAACTTTAATGTAACTTATTCTATGCAAACAAAGGCTAGCAGAGAGTGAGAATGCTAAGGGAAGTAGATCTAGTTAAACGATGAGACCAGAGTACAAAGGAAACCCTTCATATTCCTTAACCATGTGCCTTCATTGGATGTGCCTAAGTTCTACCATTGGCAAGTAGAACACCCTTATCGGAGTAGGTTAGAACTCCAGATTCTATGCTTTGCTACCACTGTCTATGTTGCTTATTGCCTTTTCTCATCATGTGGGATACCTACTAGCATTAGAGAAGTTCTATGAAGTTTAGGTGGTGGTATCGTACGCTATCTAGACATTGCATAATAGACTTTGAAGGTGTTAGTTAGAGTCCCTAGGTCTTGTCTAAGACCATTATTTGAATGTCCGGATGTGATGAATGAGTCTTAAATGAACTAATTAATGTAATAACTTAAGTTAATAAAGTAAGTTAAATGAATTAGTACTTACCTATAGTAGTTAAGGGTTGTCTAGTTAAGGTGTGAAAGGGTATAGGAATGGTCACTTCATATCTTACCTAGATAAGTCATAAGAATGACTCTATTTAGCGAAGATGTTGATTGCGAGGACATTATCTAAGCCAAGGTAGTCTTAAGGATTATTTAAGTAGTCTTAAAGAAGTCAATCATGGATGTTATCTTCTATATTTACTTAAGTAAGTCTTTTGATAGTCTTTTAAAGGAGAATGTCGTATTATCTATGTTTGATGTATTTGTAAGTGTGTGTATCACATTATAGTGGTCTAATGGATCATTTAGGTGTGCCTAGAGAGGTTGTACCTAAGAAGAGGTTAAAAAACTTCATTGTAACAGTGAAGTAGATCACTGTACAGTGATGTGCTTCACTGTAATATTTCCTTAAAATGCATTAAATTATTTAATGACTTCTTCTGTGTTTCTAAGTTGTTAAGTGTTATTTTTACAATTATGATTTGATATTTAAATGAAAAAGATGCATATATCTAATAAATATCAATTTTGATGATTTTATGCATAATGTCATACTTAGTACAAGTGTTTGTACCAATTCCATACATTTTGTACAAGGAGAGCTTTGATTCTAGAATCATTCAAGTAAAGTTGAAGTATGTCCTCAATAAATTGGAGGGTATAAATAGATGTCTTTTATATCTTTTATTTCAAAGTATTGTAATAGACTAAGTATTTCTTTAATTTAATGTATGGGTTGTGTCCCAAAGTATTCTCGTGTCTAAGCTTTGATGAGATTGAGACTTAGTATTTCCTAATATTTTTAATGATTGTTGTTATAAAAGATATTCTAATGTTTTCTGAAAAGTTTTAATTCTGCACTACCTTTCATTATATGTATGTGACGAATAATACGAAAAAAGGCTTGTACATCTCCGAGAGGTCAAGTACGCCGGCACTCCTAGAGTTTCATATCTTCTAGGGTGTGGTATCGGGATGTGAAATGATTGGTATCAGAGCATAGGTTATCAAAGTAGTCTTAGGAATCCAAAGGTCTTATCAAGTCACGTCTAGTAGAGTCTTGGCCATCGGTCTGAGTCACAACACATCTATGGGTGAGAGGATATAGAATGATAGAGTTTCCCTTCTTTTCTACTCCTATATCATGTCATAGAGTAAAAATTTATGAGTATTCTTTTCTTATGGTTCCTTGTGTTTCTAGGATGATGAATACGACAAGGACACCTGCTAGGAGGGTTGAGGAGAATGATGTGCAGGAGGAAATTCCTTTTCAAGTTGAGCAAGTTGAGAAAGTTCCTCAATGTGCTCAAGTTCCTCCCCATGATGATCAAGTTGTCGAAGCACCTAATGATTTTCCGGTGGTTCCCCTGGAGTTGAGTAATAGAGATATTAGAGAGGTTTTGCTTACTTTCTCTCAAGCCGTGACTATTCAAGAAAATTTGAGTATGGAGCCTTTGGTGAATGTTGTTGAGAGAACTATGACATATATATTGAAAGACTTTGAGAGGATGAATCCTCCTATCTTTCTTGACTCTAAGGTGGGAGAGGATCCGCAGAGTTTCAAAATGGTGTGTACATAAGGTGTTGAGTTTGATGGAGGTTACATCTTGGGAGAAGGAGGACTTAGGTTTGTATCAATTGAGGGATGTTTCTCAAGTGTGGTACACTCATTGGGAGGATATATACCGGTGGAGTCAGGTCCTATTGAGTGGGAAGAATTTAAAGATGCTTTTCTTGAAAAGTACTTTTCCCGTGAGAGGAGGGAAGTTAAGGTAGAGAAGTTTATCAATCTCAAGCAAGGAAATATGAGTATTGAGGAATACATTTTGAAGTTCTCTATGTTATCTATATATTCCCCCTTTCCTTGTGTCTAATTCGAGGGATGAGATGAGTAGAATCATAACGGGTGTTGCCAATCTAGTGAGGGAGGAATGACGTACGACCATGTTACATGATGATATGACATTAGCTAGACTCATGGTGTATGCACAATCAATAGAGGAGTCTTAATTTGGGAGAACTGATAGGAACTTGAAAATAAGTGGTTCTTGTGATCAAGGTCAACCTAGGTTCAAGAAGAGGGCTCAAGGTCAAGAAGAACCTAGGAGTGCTAAGGTGAAATTTGAGAAAGGAGGTGGTTCTCAAAATGGAAAACCTACAAGTGTCACTTGTGGAAAGAGGAACTATGGGGAATACATAAAGGGTACCAGGAGTTATTTTGGTTGTGGTAAATAAGGATACAAGGTGAGAGATTGTCCTACCATTGCTTCTAGAGGAAGAGATGGTAAACAAGTTTATCCTAACGTTCCAAATGATGATGCTCCAAATAAGAGATGTTTCTATGCACTCCGAACTAAGGGATCAAAGTCGGATGAGGATGAGATATGATGTTAAGTTATTGTGATTCTTTAGTGTTATGGGTCCCTTCTAAGTGGGGGAGTATGGTGAGTCTTAATAGATTGTTTCATCTTTTCTATTCAACTCAAGCTTGAGAATAGAAATTCATAGATGTATGTTGCATGTTGCATTATATTTAGGGGTCTTGTTGTAATTGAATTTCATTAATTCCTTGCATTGTGAATTTTATGAAGTTATGATTATGTTGTAAGATGTGTTTATGTGGTTCTATATTGTATAGTAGTATGTTTCTATCATGAATAGCCTAAAAGTTGCATTTTCTGGAAAGTTGCATAGTGCAAAATTGACTAATTAATTCTTTGGTCTAAAGATGTTGTAATGTTGTTAGAATTGATGTATGTGAGAATGATACTAAATATAAAATGAGTTTTTGCCATTGGAAATGAAGCATGTGAGTTTTATAACATAATGAGTTATAGATTTGTTTCTAGTTTCTTGTTGTGTTGTGATTCTCTAGATTATCTGAAATGGATGTTCTCTTAGATGTTTGTATTGTATAATTTACTATATGGTATGTTCATGAGCTGCTAATTGAATCTTTATTCTTAATAATGTTTGGAGAGTGGCAAGGTGTCATTTGAGGATGAATGTTGTCCAAGTGAGGGAGATCATAACACCCTTCAAATGACGTAGGTGATGATAGAGCCGAACATGGTTGTCATGATGATCTTAACCTCATGGTATACCAATACCCTCAACTTAATTTCATTTTTTGTCTTCAAGGGACACACTGACTTTAAATGACACTTGAATAGAAGCAAGCACTTCAAGCACAATGATCTCTACACCTCTTTTTTGGTGCAGATCTTTTTTCTAAGAATGAACATGTTATCTTGTGCGGATTAAAACATGACAAAGATTGACCAATCGACTAACAACATACACTGTTTTATTCTTACCACATATATACTTTCAAACAATATTACTAGTGCCCTTACCTCAAACGAAATCCTTTTTCACATAATTAATATGATTTTGAGTACAAGGATTCATTCAACACTCACGTTCAGAAGTAACATCAAGTATAGTTAATGTTAAATACCATATGCTTGCCCTTATTTTCACTGATAAACTCTTCAAACTACGTTCTAGGATCACTATTCGACATTCTTGGCTTGTAACATATGTATTAGGGTTAGGTGTGGTAAATATAGGTATTTGATACTGACTTTATTCCATCCTTGGCATAACACTAGGCTTTATACCTCTTTTTGCCCTATTTTTTGACTTCCTACCAATTTGCCTTCTTTCCTTTAATTCTCTTCAGCCACTCTGGTCTTTGTAGCTCTTTTTTTCACTTTTTTTTTCATTTTTTTGAATTTAATTCTTTTCTTTACCTTTCAACAATTCACATCTTATCCAATATTTTCTTCTTCTCATTTGAATAGAAAATCTTTTCTTTTTCTCCATTTTTTCAACATCGAACTCTTTTTCTTACCCATTTTTCTTCCGGATTCCTCTTTTCTAAACACTCTCAACTTATGGATTTTCCATTAGTTGAGGTGCGAAATACCCGATGTCGGTTAAGGCCAAAATATAGGTCGCCTTTTGCATTACCACCCTTAACTCAAGCTTTTGGCCTAAGTCGAGGTGCACATGTCCAAGGAGGGATCGAGGCCAACACAAAAGAATATGGGAAGGTGAGTTAGGGTTTTTGAAAGAAAAGGTCTAATTAGCTCAAATCATTTGGATAAAAGGGAACATTAATTTCATTTTTTTGGATTCTTTTTAGGAAATTTGTGGACTTATAAAAACAAGGTCATATGATCACATCCTAGATTCTATAGTAAATCATCTTATCATGACTAACCAGTCAAGTTCTATACTGGCTTTAAAATTGCTAGAGCAATAGAAAGGGAGGTTCCTTGAGGGTATTTTTGTTATTTTAAATATGTTTCTAAGACTAAAACAATTAGAAGATTTAGTTTTTTAAAATCAAAACCAAAATTCCCTTACTAATTCTATAGAACTCCATTGGAGCCAAAACTCAAAAAAGGGCTTGGGTTGCAGTATTGAGTTGAGATTCTTCATCCAATTGGAAGATTAGCTTTATTAAGGTATGATTTTTGATCCTTGAAATTCTATTCATCAAGGATCCTAACTTTGGAAGAAGTTTTCTAAAGTTTTCAAAGATGAATTGTCCAATTTCATGATCTATCCGTGGGTTCTTGCATTAAAGGTTTTAAAGCATTGAATATTGATTGAATTGTGATTAATTAGATGATTTAACTCAATTAACCTATGAACCCATGTAATTGATGATCCCTAGTTTTTTATTACTTTATGGGTTAAGTGATTTGGATTTAATGCTTATGAATTGTAGTGTAGTTTTATATGAAGTATTGATTGATGTAATAAATGTATTGAGTTGATACATAGTTTTTTTCAGATTGATGAATCTATATTAAATTGATCTAGTTTGATTGAGTATCATAGTTTTATATTGAATTGATATTCATGGCCATGGGTAAAGGCCTTATAGTATTAAATTAGATGATCTAGAATTGGATTGAAAAGTTGAGGAGGGAGTGATGGTACTTTACCCTAATCCCCTTTATTTTATGTTAATTAGACTTCGATTATGTTCTGATTGGTATGGTCCACTTATAGTGGCGGTGTTATATGCTTTACTTGCATTTGATGTGGCCTTGTCGGCATTACTTTATGTAATATGATGATCATGGCCTTATCAACAACTACTTAAAGTATTATGATGATTCTTGTAGTTGATTATGTGAAGTTGGATAGTATATATCTACATGATAAGTAATGTGAAAGTTTATTTGTTTATCTTTTAATGCTCTTTAGGTGATCATGTTAGACTATTACTATATCTTCATGTGTATAGTCTTAGGGTTAATGCATGGTTATTCTTTCTTGACTACATGAGTCTATGAAGATAATATTGATGATAATATGGTAGTGGATAGGATGATTTAAAGATGATAATGGTTATTTCTATAATCTTTTCGAACGACATGTGATATGTTTTAAAGGGAAGTATGTTGTGTCTTGTCTTGGTTGAATTGTGTCCCTTACTTGATGCATGTATGAATGTGAATTGGAGATATCTTGACTTAGGTATTGTATGTATGAATGACATGATACCTTGAATGATGTTACGAGAGTCCTTAATGTGAAACCTTGAACCTAGTGGTAAGGTTATGAATGTGGAAGTCTAAAGACATAATGGTATCCTTTATGTAAAAGAACGATAGACTTTAAGTTGGTTGGTTGGAACAGAGTCATATCAATCCTAAGGAAAGTCATTATGAGCTTTTTGTCGCCATTGTAAGGTAACCTAAATGGATCTCTTTGTTAGGGTAAATGTGATTGGGTTATGAACTACATATGAAACCCTTTTATATAAAACATTAATTTAAATTACTCTAGGAGAACAAAGGCTAGCACAGAGTATACTAAAAGATGTATCTCTAGTTAAAGTATGAGCCAAGAGTACAAAGGACACCCTTCATATTCTTTAACCATGTGCCTACATTGGATGTGTCTAAGTTCTACCATTGGCAAGTAGAACACCCTTACCGTAGTAGCTTAGAACTATGGATTGAACGCTTTGCTTCCATTGTCTATGTTGCTTATTACCTTTTCTCATCATGTGGGATACCTACTAGCATTAGAGAAGTTCTACAAAGTTTATTTGGTGTATGGGACGCTATCTAGTCATTGCACTATAGTCTTTAAAGGTGTTAGTTAGAGTTCCTAGTTCTTGTCTAAGACAATTAATTGAATATCCTAATGAGATGAATGAGTCTTAAATGAAGTAGTGAATGTAACGACGTAAGTTAATAAAGTAGATAAATGATGTAGTACTTACCTAGAGTAGTTAACGGTTGTCGAGTTAAGGTGTGAAGGGGGCATAGGAGTGGTCACTAGATAAGTCTTAAGAATGACACTAGTTAGGGAAGATGTGGATTGTGTGGACATGATCTAAGCCTTAGGTGGTCTTAAGGATTCTTTAGGTAGTCTTGTAGAGGTCAATCATGGATGTTATCTTTTTTATTTACATAAATAAGTCTTTTGATAGCCTATGTTTGATGTATTTGTAAGTGTGTGTATCTCATTATATGTAGTCTTATGGATCATTTAGGTGTGCCTAGAGAGGTTGTATGGGCGGTCTCTCTGTCTTACTTAAGCGAGTTTTAGGATAGCTTTTAGTGAGCGAACTACATGCTGGAAAGTGCCTAAAAGGAGGTTCAGAAACTTCATTGTAACAGTTTGAAGAAGTTCACTCTATAGTGATGTGATTCACTTTAAAGATTCCATAAAATTCATTAAATTTATTAAATGACTTCTTATGTGTTTCTAAGGTGCTAAATGTTATTCTCATTATTATGATCTGATATTTAAAAATGAAAAAGATGCATATATCTAATAAATGTTTGTTTTCATGATTTTATACATAATGTCGTACTTGGTACAAGTTTTTGTACTAATTCCATAAATTTTGTTATCTCTAAAGGTGTAGGCAAAAGGTGAGAAGGAGCGTGAAGCAGTGCTTGGATTCTAGAATCATTGAAGCAAAGTCAAAGTATGTCCTCAATTGACTAGAGGGCGCATATAGATGTATTTTATGTGTTTTATTTCAAAGTATTGTAATAGACTATGTATTTTTATAATTTGAATTATAGGCGTGTCCTAAAGTATTCTCGTGTTAAATCTTTGACGAGATTGAGACATAGGATCTCTTATGATTTTAATGAAAGTTGTTATCAAAGATATTCTATTGTTTTGTGAAAAGTTTTAATTTCGCACTACACTTCATTATGTATATCCGTTAAATGATACAAAAAAGGTTTTGTATAAGACCTCCGAGAGGTCAAGTACACCGATTGCACTCCGATAGTTCCATATGTTCTAGGGTGTGGTCTTGGGATGTGACAAGCTTGGTATTAGAGCATAGGTTATGAAAGTAGTCTTAGGAATTGAAGAGTCTCATTAAGTCACGTCTAGTAGAGTCTTGATCATCGGTGTGAGTCGCGACACATCAATTGCGGGAGGCTATAGGACAATTGAGATGAAAAAATAACTATGATTGCTTAGCTTGTCCTTGACGTTCTTTTGATGCCTAAAGACAACTACTTGTTCTCATGAATAGCAACAATATTGTTAACTCTGTTAATTATTCTATATCTAAAGAAGATATGCGTTTACAGAATTGGTCCATCCCTAAAGAACAGATTAACAAGATTTACCAAATATGTAATTTTAATTTGGTTAAAAGTTTTAATATAAAAACTTGTGAATCTACCTCTGCAATTAATAACTCTTTAGAGACTATTAAATTGTTGATTGCTGCTGACATAGACATGTATAGAAAAGAATTTAAATTTCTTCATATTGGTCTTGTTAAGGTAGCTGTTAAACCCCTTTTCTGTGAAGGCTTAAATTTTCCTATCTGTAGAGATGCTAGACTTCTCAATGTTGATGATTCGTTGCTAGGAGTCTTAGAAAGTAATCTTGCTCAGGGACCGGTTTACTTCAATTGTTATCCTAATTTCTCTGTAGAGATAGAAGACCCTAATATTCTTGATACCTTGACACTTAATTTCAAAACCAAGAATATGAATAGCAAATTAAAAACCATAGATTTAGCTGCAATATATCGGGTATATTACAAGCTAATGAAAACCACTATTGCCCCAAAGGCAATTAACTCTAGTCCCAAAGGTGTTACTATGCTTATGGAATCTAACCAAGACCATAGCACTACTTTTGTGCCAAGAATGTTAAAGTGGAATGAGATTCTTTCCGATGAAAGTTGGAAATTTGAATCTATCACTAAACCCCTTCTTGTTCAGCCTTCTAGGTTTTCCCTAGAAAGTATTCTTCAATTTACTGATGGATCTGTTAACCTTAAGTTTCTTAGAACCAATTATTTCGGCCATGAGTCTTCTAGTAGAAGAATGTGTATGGCTAGACCTTCTACTTCAAAGATCCGGGAGGGAGGAGAAGATTTATATAAAACCATTGAGGTTTCAGAAGAACAGGGTAAATTCCACGGGGTAGATTTCACCCAAACCATCCCCAAGGTTTATTATGATTCTTCTTTTGCAGGAAGTCCTACTCCTAGTGAAATAAAAACTCCATCTCATAATAAAAAGTATTCTATAGGATTTTTTAAGTCAATCGACAAATTAACTCCTGACACAAAAAAGATTAATAAGTGGTGGATGAGCCTTAAGCAAGCTTTAAAGTAAAGCTTTATTCCAAGATATACTGCATAATGTTTAAAGAGAGGGAGACCATTCAAGAAAATTTTGTATTCGTAAAATATCTGATGCTCTTAATATGAAGATACAAAGTCTTATATAGACTTGAAAGGATAAGGGAAATCTAAGAGATGATCATCTGATTGGCTGTTGATTTCCGTCTGTTGGTTTTGATAAACCAAAGCATTTTTTTTTTCTTTCGAAAAGTACCTTCATATTTATCTTTTGATAAAGCTTTGTTTGCCACTTTGTCAGCCATAATTGCAGATAATGCCCTCATTGACCATGCTTCGCGGGTCCTGACAGAGTCCACTTAATAATTTAATCAAAAGGAAATTTCGTCTCTTTGAGACTCTTCCTTTTCATTCTAGATAATTCCAGCTCAATGAGACTCTATCTGAAAGACTAGTTATTCCGGATTTTAATACCCTCAACTAGTGATTAATCATAAAATGGATCTAAATAAGACTTTGCCAAAACTTTAGGTTTTAACATGTCTCCATTATCATCACTTTGAGAGGACGAAGCTTCTTCAAGGAGCTTCATTATAGGTTGTTCATTATCTTCAAACTCTAAGTCTGACAAGGCCTTTTGTAGTCTTATCTTTAGTACATTCTTAGATAAATACTATTGGGGATATCTTTTAGAGATCAATTGGTTAACGCTTGTAGTTTACTTTGGAGCCGGAGACCATCCTTCAATCAAGACTTCTCTTGACAAATACTTGATCCTGTCAAATTCTGCAATACAGAAAGTCCAACTAATAATATAAGACATTCTTTTTTGAATAAAATATTTAGACAGTTTTATATTCTCTGGGAGAGAAGATATGTCTTGATCTAGCTGAAACTAACTGAATTTGTCAGCAAACTTTTTGGCAAAACTTGTATATTTTCGCCAAAACAGTTCCACCATTCGTAAAACCATCTTGGGATGACTCTCTTGGTCATTTCTTGACTATATTTGACAAACCACGTGTGAGTAGTTGGCCTGAGGTAGAGGAAGTTAAACCAGACTGATCTGTAGTCATGCCAATTGAATGTTTGAGGTCTGTGTTCCGTCGATAGATTAATAGGGGTTTGCAAGTGATCTACCTGCCTAAAATTTTCTTGATAGTCATTTTAGAGTAAGGGATACTATCAGGATCAAAGTTATCACTCAGTTTGTGTTCAACTTCAATTGAACCGGTATCAACATGAATTAACTCAAAGTATTTTCTTGTTTTTAGTGGATTATCTACATCCACATAATTTCTATTAGAAAATAGAGGTTTGACAAGATGCTTTACCTCAAAATTCTCGTATTCTTTGTCAAAGGATAATATGGGGAGACCTGCAAAGAGATGATTTCAAAGGTTTCTCTTACCTTTGGAGTTTTATCTGTAGTTGAAGCAGTAGTCGGTAGAAATGTCTTTTTGAAGCTCTCTGGAACTTTCATGGTGTAAGAGTCTTTGGTTTGGGGGGAAGAGTATCTGGGTACTCCTGATGGTGAGTGCAAACAGGGTTCGACGATTGGTTTAAAAGGTTTATTAGAGCTTTGAGGCAAAAGAGGAAAAGGAGTTATTGAAAAGGCTGGGTTTATAGGCGGTAAGTTTGCCAAAGCTGAGTATTTATTCTGGTCACTCGATGATGGCCTGATAGCAAATGGTTTTGCTGAAGGTTTTCCTTCAGGACTTTTTCCCTTATTCTCAAAGGGGCTACCTGTTATGGCTCTTGACGAGGGCCTCGTGATGATTTTCCCTGTAAGAATTCTCGAGTTAGAAAATCTGGTAAAGAATTATTTTCATCTTTAATAAATTTGATTTTGAAATCGAAGCTTGCTAATAAGGTCTGCCATCTGGAAAAAATCTGTTTAGAAACAATATTCTTAACATCCTTTTGGAGGATTTCTTTAGTAGATTTACAATCTACTCTAAGAAAGAATTCTTTATTTATCAAGTCATCTTGAAATTTAGTTATACAAAAAATAATAGCAAGGATTTCTTTTTTGATCGTGCTGTAATTTCTTTGAGCAGAATTCCAGATTCCATAAGTATAACGGACTAATTGTTCTGAAGAATTGGGGTCTGTTCTTTTTTTAAGAATACCACTGTATCGAATATCAGAAGCATCAGTCTCAAGAATCATGAAATAGTCAGGGTTAGAAATATTAACGCAAGGAAGATCTTTAACCATATTCTTTAGATGAATAACTGCATTGGTTTGTTCATCACTCCAGGGTGAAGGATTCTTCATGTCCCAAAAATCTGATTCTTGTTTATAATAATTTAATCTTTTAGCACAAATGACTAATCCATTGTGCTTAACAATTTTAAAGAAAAAATTTAAATGTTTGAAATGAGAATCAACGTCCTCGGAAAAGATTAATACACCATCAATATAAACAATAGAAATATGACTAATATGGTTGAATATAGAATTCATAATATTTTGAAATTCCGATGGGGCATTTTTGAAACCAATATGCATGACATTCCATTCATATTGTCCAAACAGGACATTGAAAGATGTTATATATTTATCTTGTTCAACTATTTGAATTTGCCAAAATCCTCATTTTAAATCAAATTTACTATAAACATTAGCTTTAAAAGTTCGTTTTAAAAGATTCCTTTTGTTAGGGATCTTTTAAGGAATCCACTTTAAAACTGAGTTTAAGGGTTTGTAATTAATAACAAGTCTTGGGGAACCTCGTTCTTGTTCAGCTGCATTGTTAACATAAAATTCTGAACAACTCCAAGGTGATTTTGAGGGATAAATGATTTTATTATTCAAAATAGTATGAATTTCCTTTATACAGATTTCCATTAAATCATGGTTCATCTGAATAGGCCTGGCTTTTGTAGAGATGACCTTTTCATTAAATCCATCAATCTATGGTAAATCAATAATATGGGATTTTCGATCCCAAAATGCGTTTGGAAATTCTAAGCAAATTTCATTTTCAATTTTTTTTTTGAAGATTTGCAATTTTAGCAACCATTCTCGGGGTTTTAAAGATTTGGTCAATTTTCTTAAATTTAATATCCTCTTTTAAAAAACAAATCTGATTGATTTTAAATGCAGTTTGTTTATGCAAAAATTTACTCTCCTCAAGAGAAAGTGTCTTGATTGATTCAAAATCTGAAATATAAGGTTTGATTTGGGTAATAAAAAGTATACCCAAAATTATTTCCTCATTAATGTTTTTAGTTATAACAAATTCATTAGCATGGCAAATACCGTCATTGAAGATATGATCATTTGATAGTTTATAATTTATACAGATACACTCACCATTCACGTTGTATAACTTGGTAGTTCCGTTTTAGAGGTACTTGGTTGGGATCAGACCTTCAACAATGCAATTAAAATTTGCACCACTGTCTAACAAAGCAATTTTGTTAAGCAAAAAATTGGAATTGACTACTAACTTAATCATAATGTGAGAACTCTGAGGTCTCACCTTAGTGATCATACTAATACCTGCATCTTCAATACCTTTAGGTGATGAAGGGGCTGATTGA